GGGAGATACTCACACTGGGGAGTTCTGAGGAACGATGCTCTGGAGACAGTGCAATAAGTGAACCACATTCTCTATTTTGAAAACCAAACTGACACTGATTTATTCAATCGAGGGGTTAGCAGGGCAAAGTCCCATTAAGTTTTAAGTATGATAGTCCATGAGTGACAGTCCAGAAGGGTAGTTGTCTTTGTGTTATAATTGTTTACCACATGAAAAGCACACAAGGTGGCCTTATGAAACACCCCATCTCAACAGAGCTTGTTGCTACCAGGAATTATTATCTTTTTTTTATTGTTATCAGTCTACTGGATTTGAAAGGAAGCATACCTGACCAGGTAACACTCACCACCAAGTGGGATCTGTGAAAAAGAAGAGAACTAAACACAAAATATTACTGAACTCACTTTGAAAAACTATTACTTTTAAATTTCATTATCATAAAATAAAGAAATAGAAAATATACTCCAGACCCAAGAAGACAGGTCTAAAAAAAAAAAAAGAATAATCTAAAGCATAGGCATAACTAAAACCATTCAAAACTGAAGATAAACCTGCAGCAAGCACGTAAAATCATCATCGTAGCATTCTGCCATTGAAAAAAGTGAATAGGAAGTAATAACGGGGGAGCTTGTTAGTACACAGGCTGGAGCAAGTGAGGTAAGATTTACACCAATGCTTACATGGGCAGAGAAGAGAATCTTTTATCGGGATAAAGCTAAAGAGTGAGAAGAGGCAAGTGTGTTTCAGAATAATGGTTTCTGTAATACACCTCTTGGTACACAATTTTAACCTTTCATAAAAAAGAACAAGTCCCCAAATTTATGTTAACTCTATCACTATGGGTATCCTTTACTACACACGACACAAGGTTTTTGTGTTTTATATTCAAAGTTTTATTAAACTACTTTTTGTTTATGGTATATCAATTAGTATATCATAAAATCTTAGCTAATAATCAATATTTTAAAAGTATATAAATTTTAAGATCTTAATCATATAAGGCAATATTTAAAAAAATACCTGGATTTCCCCTAGTGTGACACACATGACACATTTTCACTAGGTATCTTTTCTTCTCTATTTCATCCATCGCTCTTCCAAAAAGTATGAAATTCATTGTAAATTTCTCACTATAAAATTGTCATTGCTCAGATACACCATAATTTTTATAGCCTTCAAAGATATCAAATAGAAAATCAGACCCCTCCAGCCACACCCACCTGTCACATCCTCTCTTTCTGGATTTGTTAATAGTTCTCTCTTAAATTTAATTATACATTACCTATAAGCAATAGAAAGTGAAGGTTTTTATCTATCATATGACGTATTGTATAACATTGTGTTGTGAACAGATAAAGTCAATTTCACTCATAATACAAGGTTCATTCCTGTGGGAAAGTTAATGAATAGCTTGGACAAATTTGTAGTGGCTCTTGATGCACAGTTAGAAAGCCAGAAAAATTTTGAGAGTTAGGGAAAATTGTCTACTTTTTGCATGTTATTAGTCTATGTTCTTTAGTGCATTATTTAATTAAATAAAAATTACTTAGTGCATTAATACCAAAAAAGTAGGGTTAAGTATCATTGACAATTAACAGCAAGAAAAAGAAGATCAGTAAGTACTTTATTTCTTGTTTTTCATGTTTATTCTTTATTTATTATTATAAAAGTAACTAAAATGTAAAAATAGGGATCTCTTTAGGTCAATTAAGGTTAAGTTAGGTAAAATAAACAATAATAATAATAATAATATAATAAAAATATTTCATGTGGCACGCACGCAAGCAGCTCGGAGTAGCTCATGGGTAATGTAATTCGATAGCGTGACGTGAGCTGCACGTTTCCCAAGTGATTTAAACTTATAATGGCATGAATAGTAGTTATACACAGTTCAAAGGGCAATCAAAAGAGCAATGAAACAATAAAATTTAATTATAAATAGATGTATACTGTTACAAGTTTAAAGTTACTTAGGATAAACAAATGTAGTTTCACACTACATTTGAAGTCATTCTAGAAAGAAAAAGAGAGTAATTTAAAGTTATTTCGATTTTTTTTTTTTTTGGTGGTTAAAAGATTAGTCAAACTGACCAACCTTGTACAGTTAGGGTAGCAAAAATTACAGATAAAATATACACTTTTCCTGAAATCAAACATTTGAAATGTATTTAAGAGGTTTTAAAGATAACATAAATGAAATTTGAGATTTTTGAAATGAAGTATTTTTAATCTTAACATGAAAATCACTTTACACAAGGAATCTTCAAAACAAATACTCAATATATTTAAGGACAAATCTATTTTAGTTTATTAAAGATACTTACTTAAAAATATTGTTTTTTTTATGTGAAAGACTTATAATGTTTACTGAAAGAATGCCAAATTTCATTAACATATACACACTATATTAAAAGTTAGTAGTATCAAATCTATAAGGACTTTGAAGGAGTACAAAGAGGTAACATGGTCAGTCAAATTGACTGAGTTCGTGTTGAGAGAGTTAAAGTCAGAGGGTGTTATTGATAGAATGACATCAAAGAATGTATTTACTGACATTGACAAATCATCTCTTAATTTACCATGGTCAATAACCAATAATCACATTAGCAGATCTTAAATGTTGAAACCATAGAAAACAATTCCTTATTTGGATTTTAAATATTCTTAAATTATCATTATAATCATTATTATGCATAAATATACTTACTTATATTATACTGTATTGTATGACTATAGTTAGATCTCCAAACAACACCTGCATGGATCTGTATAGTTGTATTTTTAATGTCTCACATTGCACATCTCACACAGTGTAAATTATTAGATTTACTACATTGTCCAAACTGATGTTCGATCAACAGTTGTTTTTCTGTCAATCATTGCCTAAGGTAACCAAAGGTCAATAAATAAAATCTAATAAGATACAAGTAAAGAAGGCATTACTGTTTTGAAATTTTTTGAGGTATGTGTGTAACAATGTATAAACTAATTTTTCTGACTATCTTGATAAAAAAAAATATTATTGCCCATAATACATTTTTTGAAAATACTCAGCAAGTGTTAAAACTTTTCATGCTAAGCTTTAGGCTAAAACAGAAATAAAAGTAGTAAAGCAGGGCAAAACTAAATCATGTTTTCAAAAATATGTCAAAGTAGTGCATGCAACAAAGACCTAAAGCCAGAAAACATCACCGATTTATATAAGTAAGACCTAAAAGAAGTTTAGAAGTATTTTTATAGATTATTTTTCCCTAATAAATATTGCACAATATGCATATTCTTTACACTTTTATCTGAAGATGTTGGATATTGGTCCTATTATAATAAATTTTCACAAAAAAACACTTCTTAACTCTAAACATTAGAATTTACCTCAAAGAACTTGGCAGTTGGATCAGTCAGCATCTGAAGAGTCTCTTGTTGCTCTTGGTTAAGAACTGAAATAGTTATTACACAATTGTTTATTCAGTTTTTTTAGTTAACCATATTTATATTTCTAGGCTTTTAACATGAAAAACAAAAAAAGTTTTATTTTGAGACAATGATGAAGACCTGTTGCAAAAACCTACAGTTATACCCAACTGAAAAGTTAAAAAATTACCAACCCCTATGCAAATTAAGCTACTTTGAAAACATTGGATTAGGTTTAAGAAATATTTTCCAAGTTATCAAACTCAAAAGTAATTTTGATGGTTAACAATCAAACCACCATTTATAATTAGTAGAATTAAAGTTGGATAATGCCAATGAAATAAAAAAGATATTTCCTTTAATAACAAGACTAGTAACTTTGCAGTCATATAATTGATAATAAAATTCAGTGCCCTAACACATACCTATACATCAATCAGATTTTTACAAAAATTAAAAACAAAGAAATTATAAGAACCATAGCACCATGTGGAAAAACTTAGTAAACTTGAAGGTTAAAAGTTCAATGCATGAAAGGACAAAGTAAGCACTTATAAAAGTTTGGAATATTAAAAACTCGACAGAATTTTGAATGAATTTGAAAATTAGGGAAAAAGTTAAGAGACATAGAGTTGAAAGTAAATAAACAAAAAAATTAAATGCAGTTTTTGTGTGAAGTAAGCATGCCGAAAAATGCTTACAATGTTATCAGTCAAAATGTTGTAGAACTATAAGTGACAATAAAATAAATTTAGAAAAAAAAACTTTAAGACAACTGAGTAAGAAAACAAAAATAATAAAGAAAACCGTAGACAGACATAAAAGACATGGAAATCATCCCTAAAGTTGAGAGTCACTTGTCAAAAGACCAATACAAATATTATTTTGTTTTCATTTAAGAGTTAGGACTGGGATTTTACACAGGAAAAATAACAGAAAAGCACGAAAAAGCTATATTATTGAAGTTATATTATGATGATGGAGATCAAAGATAAAATTCAAAATCTTCTTGTAGAGAACCTATATGAAAGGTTTGGTCTATTTTGAATTTCATGTAAAGTTACACGAGGGTTATCTATGCTAGCCATCCCTAATTTAGCAGTGAAAGACTAGAGGGAAAGCAGCTAGTCATTAACATCCACCACCAACTATTTTTTATCAATGAACAGTGGGATTGACTGTAACATTATAATTCCCTCATGGCTGAAAGGGTGACCATGTTTGGTGGGACAAGTAAGTCATTTTTAAGAACAGTTGTGTATTGGTGAAGAAAGAAAAATGAGCATAGCTAGAAAATGCAAAAAATTATCTAATAATAAGGGAATGATTATGCAAAGTGTCAAGGAACTGAGTAGGGTTGAATTTGTGTCTTAATACAAATACTATTTTTTAACTTTATGTTTTTAATGCACATATGTGTAAAGTGTAAACAACAAACAATGTAATTGTAATATCTCATATATAAGGTAAATTATTCAATACTGGAACTCACAATTATTAATACTAAATTATTAGAGGTCTGAAAGCTGTATAGAACAGATAGAAAATAATCAAGTGAAACAATGGGGGAAAAAAGTATAAATGCAAGTTTTGTACATATTTGGTTAAACAAACTGAGAATCATCAGAGAAGTATTTCAAATAAAGAATATTTATTTTTCTTATGGATATAGTAATAGTAGGAGTGGTGTGATATTAGTTAAAACATATCTGAATTCATTGTAAAAAAAATCTAACATCAGAAAACGATGACAGCTACACATAATTATAGTGTAAAATGAAAAAGATTTGGCCAGAAAATAATAATGAAGTTGATTTTTAGTTTTGCTCTAAGTATATATCTTGTTCTGTTTGGAAGTTAATAATTAATATAGCATATGCAAATGTTTTGCACAAATATTTTAAATTGCATAATTTATGATGGATTCAACAGTGATAATTTCTAATAGATCATAGAGCAGGATAAAAACTTGGACGTACAAAGTCAAGTGAATTTCTGCATACACAAAAAGAACAATTAAGTTATAAAAAAAAAAGTAAAACAGTAGCCTGCTTATCACCTCTTTCCCATTTTTTATTCTAAAAGTAGTAATTATTTTGTTTATCAAAACAAAGGCATTAGAGAAATAAATGTACTGTTTCAAGCCAATGATTTTATTACAATCTCTAGTGACTTAACTTGGCTAAAATCACTGTGAAAATAAAATCTAAAAAGAAATAAAACAAAGGGGAAAATATAATGAATTATTTTTTATCATAATAAAATATAATGCAATCTCATTTTAGAAACAGTCAAATAATAATTTAAATTTATGAAATAGTAAATATTTGCCTCTTCTAGAAAAAATTCCAATAAAAACAATTTTTTGGTTTTAGTTCTATAAGTTATTTTTTTTGCCTGTCACAGATGATTTTTTTTTCTGATCTTCATATTTATATAAAAAGATCAAATAGAAGAAATGCTATACTGCCATACATAATGATGGGTAACAAACAGGTCCCAGGTATAAAAAGTAAATTTTTAACTCAAAGAACTTATGGGCTAAAAATATATTTATTATGAATTATTATTACTGGAATAGATGTTTCAGCCCTTAAGGATGGCTTAACATTTTTATTTGTTTTATCCAATGATGTGTATAAAATAATTTCTTATTATAAAGAAGCATACAAACACAAAATATCTCATATTCTAGAAAAAATTATTTAATACCATTCACCAAGATGTTTTTGGTCTTTTGCCCAAATAAAGACTCATATACAGGTTGAAATTCATATAACTTTAAAGGCACACATGTATACATGTTTTCATTTTTACCAGTCACTCAAAATATAGTGATATATACTATTACTGTTTATGGTATGGACATAAAAAGGGGGGAGTGGAATAAAGATTAACCTACACGACAAAGAATTGTATAAACTTTTAGTACAATCTGCACATATACACTCTTATAATAAAGCCTTTTGAAACTACTTTAAACACGTTGTTTAATGTTTTTTTTGGCAGAAATAGATTCTAGGTTTCAAGGTCTTGAAATAAGACTAAATTCAGGGACTTTTTCATAGTAACATAAATAAAAAGGGTAAAAATTGTTCTTTCATCATTATGTGAATTTTGCTGAAGTTTTATCCTACTGAAAATTTTAAACACTATTTTACATACAATCTTGTGCAAGCATTTTAATAAGATTGCACAATGGAATGGGGTAACTTGTTATTTAAACATATATTAAATACATATATATGTAAAAAATTTAACAATTATATTTCATTTAAAATTATGTAATTTATGTAAATTATGTTTTAACCCTCTAACAGTTGAAATAGTTGTTGGACTTACACTATAAATGTACTAGAATTTTATTAATTACAACAATGAACTTAAAAGAGCATACAAGGGTTATATTGTTGAATATAGTTACAAACAATGTGAGCAGGCATGGCCAGGTGGTTAGGGCGCTCAACTCGCAATCTGAGGGTCGCGGGTTTGAATCCCCGTCACACCAAACATGCTCGCCCTTTCAGCCGTGGGGACGTTATAATGTGATGGTCAATCCCACTATTCGTTGGTAAAAAGAGTAGCCCAAGAGTTCGCAGTGGGTGGTGATGACTAGCTGCCTTCCCTCTAGTCTTATACTGCTAAATTAGGGACGGCTAACACAGATAGCCCTCGTGTAGCTTTGCACAAAACTCAAAACATACAAACAATGGAACTGTCTGCTTAATGAAATATTAACCTTAACATTAATAATAAGTAGTGACTCCATTAGTAGAAATCTAATTCTATTGTGTTTTACAGTATAAATATTAGGTCATCAAAAAATTAATGTCACGTTTTGGAACATTTTCATTAACCACCCCCCAAAATATGTACATCACGTATAATAGTTAAACCACCACCTAAACGTCACGTTAGTGTAGCCTATATAATGTGTAAAGTTTAGTATACTCTAATACTTTATAGTGATGGCACACAACGAGACACACACATTCAGCATGTAATGCTGTTTGAATACAAGGGAAACAATGTCTCTATAGCCACAAAGAATATCAAAGAAGTTTATGGAAATGTTTTGAATGTTCATAAGTGTCAACGATAGTTCAGCAAATTTTGTTCAT